ATCCTTTTATTCATATGTTGTACTTGTTTAGCAAGGAGGAAAAAATGTAAATCACTACTTGTAAAAATAGGCTTGGCATTGCAGAAGGTCAATTTATCCCAAAAATGTTTAAAAATGTGAGCATGAATCTGCGGTTTTTCTTTCTTTCTTTTTTACAAATAAAATCATGATTCATCAATAACTTTTGAACAGAAAAATAAAAAATAAAATAAAGACAAACTCTGGGTATAGCATTGAATGAACTTTTTTGAATGAACTGCGTTTTATGCAGATGACTAACCTCAGGTACACGGTTGCTCATTTATTACACTACAAATTCATTACCATTAGAATAATGTGCATACACAACAAGCTAAACATTTTGTGTGAGAATTTCTCCTGTTCATATAAATATGAATAATCTATGCAATTATCAGTGAATAAGACCAAATTTTTTCAGTTTTTTTTAAGTGCATGTAGTTGATGAAACACTCAATGTGCACAAATTGTATGCATGCATCAACAGTAAGAACAGCATGCTAGTATGCAAAGACTAATATACAACTAATGTTTTTGCCAATCTCAATCTAAACTACTCATCAGACTGATTTCTCCAGTCTACTTCCTTTCATTCCTGAGTGCACAGCTCCTCTTGACTCATTCTGTGTGTTTGTCACAGGACGGAGGGACTCCTCGGGCATTCGTTTATGGTACACTCCATCTCTGAGGAGGTTTGATGCAGGCATCATGGAGCTGGGGCTAGTCTACACTCCTGTCATGGCCATTCCTCCCCGCCAGCGCTCTTTCCAGCTGACTGGCTACTGCACCGCCAAATGCACACAGACGGTCCGCGCGTCTCACAAACACTACACTTCACTCAAGCCAGCAGAATACATTCATGCACGCAGGCTTTGAATTCATTTAAAACACATTGAGTGGCTTCCTGAAAACAGATTAAGGCCGATATTCACCAAATTATGCAATCACAAGAGACTCCCCGTTAAAAAAAAACTAGGGTGTACTAAACGTCTTATAAACCAGCCCACAGTGGAAAAAGCTCATCACCTAGAGAAATAATGTTTAAAAACATAGTTATATCAGAAGGAATACTGTATAACTTTAAGTAACTGTTCAAATCATATGGCTTATTAAGTAGGGTTGGGCCGATAGACGATGCCATCGCCGATGGCTGATAGACATCACGATGTTGAGCCGACATCGTGATCTTCGTAATCGTAATCTTGTTAAATGTGTGGTAAACACATTTAACAAGATTAGATGTTTGTCAGTGGTGCTGAGGATCTGCAAATCATTCGCCATCGTCTCTCCTTACTCTGTTTATGCGGTAAGTGAAATTGTATGTACTGTAATGTAACAGGCAACCTTTAGCAATCGTTTTCTGAATACAGATTCACGCTTCGGGCACAACCCCGTTTCATTGTAGATATCGGCCGATGCTAATTTTGTAGACATCGCCCAACCCTATTGTTAAGGCAAATTATGCAAAAAGCCAGCACTCAGAACATGCCGGCAACACTTTCTTTTGAACATTTTCTTCATACAATGTAAAAATATAGTTCAAATATTAATTACTGAAGCGGTGTTTTCTGTCCTGCAGGCTCTTCCTGTAGGCGGTATATATATCTTTGCGTCCCAGCTGCACACTCATCTGGCTGGACTCGGGGTAAGGACCGTCCTGGTACGAGGAGGCAGAGAGGTTGACGTGGTACAGGAGGACAAACATTTCAGCACTCACTACCAGGTATTAAACCAAGTTTAAGTTTGAGTTTTCAACATGACATTTAAAATGTGCCTTTTCACTTTAAATTTCACCTGATACATGTTCCTGGTATTATTGTGCATGATTCATGCGTGCACGTTATTCCAAATGAAAAATGTTTGTTGTAATATTTCATCATAAAGTAATAACTTCACATATGAAACAACTTTTCTTTTCTACTGCCATCATCAAGCCCCCTGATTTTTTCAACCAATCCCCTCCAACCACTTATACAGAAACCACACCCACTTGGAATGGAACACCCAATCAATTCCCAATCTATAAAATCAACTACTGTCCTAATTTTTTCATATTGAATTTCTTGCTTCATTTAGTGAATTTACTGAAGTTATTAGTCACATAACAGATGTTAATTGATTGTTTCACTTTGACTTTAAAATGTACATATATACGCTATCATTCAATAGTGTGAAACAGTTTAAATGTTTTTGAAAGACATCTCTTATGTTCACCAAGGATGCTTTCATTAGATCAAAAAATACAGTAAAATCAGTAATTTTGTGAAATATTACAATTTAAAATAACTTTTTTCTATTTAAAATATGATTTATTTCTGTGATGTAAAGCTGAATTTTCAGCATCATTACTCCAGTTTTCAATGTCACATGATCCTTCAGAAATCATTCTGATAGGCTGATTTGTGTACAGTATATTTATGATGCTGTAACTGTTCACCATTTATTTTACCCTGCTGAAAAAACTAAGCTGGTTGGCTGGTTTTAGCTAGTCTTCCAGCCTGGTCATAACTGGTTTGCAGGATAGTTCGAGGGGTTTTGACCACTTCTTCAGCTGGTCGGGCTGGGAAACCAGTTAAAACCAGCTACTTCCAGCTTAAACCAGCTAAGACCAACCAACCAACTTAGACTGGTTTTATTTATTTGTTAATTTTTCAGCAGGATAAACTATTTTGCAGTTGGCTTAAATACTTTAAAAAGTAAACATGTTCCTTTCAGTCTCTCAGTCGATATGAATGCAGTGTATAACAGTTTCAATTGCACTGCTCACGGCTTGAGACATGTCAACTACCCACGATTCCCTGCGGTATACCTGAACACTTGATGCTTTTGTCACTCCCACACACACACACACTATAAAAATCCCTAAATGAAATATATGTTAAACATGCTATGGTTTATTTTTGGGCTGCCTTTTTGAAATCACAAAGTAACACAATATTACCATGTTTTTTAGATATGTACCATGGCCTTTAAAATACCAGCACTATCATGTAAATCCCCATCTTCTACAATGACTGTACTATAGTACCGCAGTACCACAAAAACATTGACCTGACACAATCTTAGGGTTCTGTAAATGATATATCCCGTTTCGGTTCGAATACATATATTAAAAAGAAAACTCAATCAAGCACTAACATTTGTAACCTTTCCCTTTTTTGTGCAGATTATCCGTGTTTTAAAGAAGATGGTGACTGTTTTGCCAGTAAGTTGCTCTTCACACATGTACAAGCTGAAGCGTGTTTAGATGAGAGAAAGAGAGATGCTGCAGACATTACAGGAAACGCCTGGAGCCAGCAAGCCACCAACAAAAGCGCAGATCTGCTGCATTTAGACTGTCAATACAAGCACCCACACACACGGCTGAGCCTGCCAATTTAATGCTAACTTGCCAAGAGACATTCATTCTAGCATGTTCTACAAATAGCTGAGTGCTAAACCCCATCTGATCATGTGTGATCGATGCATTGTGCGTTTGTCTACTCCACAGGGCGATGCTCTCGTCACAAAGTGCACGTATAACACTGAAGACAGGAACAAAGTTACCGTGGTAAGTCTGTCTCAGTCCAACACTGGTTCAAGACTAAAATGATATCTCGTGAGAATTAAGTACGGTGCAGACGAGATGTTTGACTAACAGAAGATTACAGGTTGATTAGTTGGAAATCAAACAGGAAAAAACTCTCAATTTGCAAGGTTTCTCATCATTCTGCACAGTATAATACAAGTCTACATGAAGAGCTGCTTAAATTACATTAAAGCCACACTAATACACTTCCATTTAAACTTAGGGTGAGCTCCCAGGTTGCTCAAACCAGACAGACATTAAAGATACGCAAATAGGCATCTTGTTATTAAATATGCAATTTATATATTATACTGAACCCACAAGAAAACATGTATTTTTTATGTGATCAGCATATCAGAGGTTGTCAGATCTCTTGTCAGATGCTCATTTAACAAATTATTAAATACATTTTTTTTTTGTCATATTGAATGATAATTTTTTTGCATTGTTACTTCACCCAGGTAAACATTTAAAATATATTAAATATGCATCAAATCTGCAGCACTTAATTAATATATGCAAATTTGAATATATTATAATAAAATATTACACAGAAACCTTAAAAAGCAAGGAAGGAAGATACGTTTTTCCAAATAAATACATAAAATAAAATCCTCAATTAAGAAGCAACATCTCACATTAGGAGTGTTCCCCATCATGAAACATGAATTATTACTTTTACAGTATGAACAAAAGGCTGGTGCTAATACAAGGCAACATTAATTGTAGTTCTGTCAGGACCACTATCGTCAAAATGATAGATACTTAGCATAAAGTTTGGTTTGGCGGTATGGTTCTGTTCTGGGCAAAAAACTTACTGCCCATCCATACAGCCTGTCATGAATGAGCAGGGAGAGCAGCAATAATAACTCCCCTAGGTTAACAGAACAGAACAAGGCCAATATCATTAATGTACTTAATGATATTTAAGTGTAACACTTTATTCAAGATAAAGGAGTCTGATTAGCAAGGAATATCAGAAAGCCAAGTCCTGACTGTGGCGAAAGGAGGAGCTGGGGATGGAGGAGGGTAATTTGCTCCTGAGCAAGCTGAAAAGCTGCTGAATAATACTGAATAGAGCTTATATAGGAATGCCGCGATAGGTGTCGTATTCCTATAGGTAGATGTGATCAGCTGACGCAAGCTTGACTCACGTGACCTGCCAGAACTAAAATATTACACAGAAACCTTAAAAAGCAAGGAAGGAAGATACGTTTTTCCAAATAAATACATAAAATAAAATCCTCAATTAAGAAGCAACATCTCACATTAGGAGTGTGTAAAGCTTAATTTATTTTATGCCAAGAAATTTGAATCCTGAAATTGAACAATTCTGTACAGGTCTTCTGAAGCTACTGTATATAAGAGCTTTGTGTAAGAGACAGACTTTAGCCACGATTCACTTCAAATCCAGTGGCTTTGTTTCTGTCACTTCTGCAGGGTGGCTTTGGGATTATGGAAGAGATGTGTGTCAATTACGTGCATTATTACCCCCGTACACAGCTGGAGCTGTGCAAGAGCCACGTGGACACAGATTACCTGCAGAAATACTTCAGTCTCATCAACAGGTACATCACGTGTCCATAAGACTGAACTAAAGCACCAAAAACAGCAAACACCTTCCTGTATGAGCGCACATGCCAGACAGTCATTACCTCACAATGAGAAGAAAACCTTGAAAATAGCAACACTGATGTCGCAGTACCACACCGCTCTGACCCAGTCAGGATACAACAACAAAAACCAGCACATTTAAAACTAATATCTGGCTTCGAGACTAACTGCCTGAGGACGAGAGGAATGCTTTCATTTCCTTTTACGAAATCAGATGGAAAAAAAACAAACAAATAGGTTTTCTTCAGAAATGAATAAAACAAAGGCAGGCAGATGGCATTTGTATTCTTCCATTTTGCACTGGCAAATTACATTTTTCCAAACTTAAAAAAAGCAATTTCGCAACGCTGTAGTGGAATCAGATGAATTATGAAAGTGGTTTTGTGGCCGTGGAACCAAATTTCCACCTTATGAGGAGATGTTTTGGAGTGGATATTTTAAAAATAAATAAATAAAAGGCCTATTAAAGTCTCGTTTTATTGTCATCTGTGTAGGTTTCAGGGACGTGAGAGTTGCAGTTGTCCCCAGACTACGGTGGAAGAGCAGTTCTCCTCGCTATCCTGGGACGGCTTCAGCGGGGAGGTGTTGAACTCCCTCTACCTCACCTCTCCCATCTCAATGCACTGCAACCAATCCACAGCTGAGCTCTTTCCTGTAAGCGCAACATTAAACCACCTTTTCACCATCACTGACAAACAACGGACCAGAAGTCATTCATTTCCAGAGAAGTATGGGAGCTGTGTGAAATTACGCGTATGCGAAATTTTCTGGATACAATTTGAGGTTCAGTTGCATTTAATTTTTTGTAGCTAGACTATGAAACTGCCCAAACAGATGATTTAAAGAGACATGCACCGAAACGGGTCGCTGTGAACAGAGCTGTTTTTGACAAGGTAAAGAGGGTGTTGTTTTACATGACCATTGAGGAATTTTAACCAAAGTATGTTGCAGCCATTTCTTGAAGGCCATACCAACTCGTGGAAAATGGGCATCTGATGTCCCCTTCAAACACTACTTCTGTTAACTGAGCGGTAATGAATAATTATGTTTGAAATAACTCTTACAAAACTACATTTTTCCTACATACTGTATGGTTGGTCATTTGTTTTGTGTGGATATATTCATACATTTATTATTCAGCATGTAAAAAAAAGCAGAGAGTGGAAAGGTGGTTTTTACAGAAATAGTATTGCATATTGGTAATTCTCATTTTTAAAGCTCATAGTTTTGATTGGAATTCATCACATCTGGTTGGCCAGTTCATGTATGGTCTAGCTGCAAAATATTTCAATGCACTCAAAGCTCAAATCAGATCTGATTCTCCATTCGCATATGAATGTAACTTCACACACCCTGAATCTCTCTACTTGCTCAAACAGATTAAAACATAAATTGCACAAATGCATAGAGCCTTGTAATTTAACATACATACTATATCTTACAAATGTGCATTGATTTACATAATATTTACATTATCTTGAACTGATTAATGGAGGATGGTTAATATTTGCTACATATTTGCTAAAAAGCTATTCTCATGTCTTTTTTTAGATGCGTGCAGACATATCAAGCATAAGTCAAGTCAAGTTTATTTGTACAGCGCTTTTCACGATACAAATCATTGCAAAGCAACTTTACAGCAAATTAAGTTTCTACAATATTTAGTGGTAGCTTATCAGTGGTGACTGTCAATTAATGTACATATGGCAGAAATGTAGGGAAAAATCCATTTAAGACGTAATAAAACAGACGATGAACACTATTAACAGCAATTATTATAAGCATAGCGTTAGTTCTGGCAGGTCAAGTCAATCAAGCTTGCTTTCTTCATTTTTGTTTTCTCATAAATGAACATGTGAATCGGATTACAACGTTTAGAGCTAACAGAACTTTTAGAATCTACATTTGGATTGACAAAAATTAGTGCATGTAAAAATACCTATGAGAACACACTGCCGTGTCAGGTTGAATGGTGTTAAAATGAGGATGTTTCTTTGTATTAATGTTCAATGTATTTTAGGGTGAATGGGAGAAGCAGGAGATACCAGTGGTGATGGCGGAGCTCCAGAGAGCCCCTTACCCGTGTGAATTAAGCCGTCGAGCGTCCTCTCAGAATGACAACCCTACAGAGGTCAGGTCCGACGGCAGCGTCTGATGCCCACACATGTATCTGACTCCTGCTGAGCTCAACATTTACTGTTCTCAACAACACGTCTGTGCAGCAGCCTGGAGGATGTGTGCTTCAAAGATGTGTGCATTCACATTAAATAAATTACCCAAGTACTGTTTTGTGCTTAGATTAAGATGTTGCATTACGTTTATGTGGGAAGTATGTTTATCCATTCATATGGATAAAGGTGCATTACACTTGAAAAGTTAACATCATTGTAAAGTACACACTGAATACTGTCTACTATTTTAAAAGACAGTAAGGAAAATAGTAGGCATTATGCAATGGTAAAGTATCTTCTGTTCACCAAGGCTGCATTTATCTGATCAAAAATACAATAAAAACTGTAATATTGTCAAATATTATTACAATTTAAAACTATTGCTTTCTATTGTAATATATTGTAAAATTAGTAATTTATTAGTAATTTATTCCAGCATCATTACTCCAGTCTTCAGTGTCACATGATCCTTCAGAAATCATTCTAATATGCGGATTTTCTTGCTTAAGAAACATTTTTAATTATTATTATAATAATATTCATATTTTCATATCGTTGTGGGAACCGTGATACTTTTTTTCTATCAATAAATATACAGTTAAAAAAGATCAGCATTTATCTGTAATAAAAATCTTTTGAACGATTATAAATGGCTTTAATGTCATTTTGGCCAATTTGAATCATTATTGCTAAATAAAAGCATTAATTTCTATCAAAAAAATAAAACCTTACTTAACCCTACAAGGAGTCATAAAAACAATACGACAGCTGCAGTGTTTACAATATGAGAAATTTTGGTTTTAATCTTCATACATTTAGCAAATTCACACTTTCCATTTAAACAACAAATGAAGTTAAAGAGCAGACAGCTTAAAGGGCAGACTTTAGAAAGAATCACTATTATTAGCAATAAGGAAATTAAATGCCTTGGTTATTGTTTTTACTGGTTAAAATCCAGTGAAATGTTAATTTAATGGTTACAGTACATGTGAATGAACTGATGGCCCAACATGCAGAAATCATATTTCATTTCTCTCATTCTGTCTGGAAAATACAGCATACAAAATGATTTGTAACCTGTACACAGAAAATACTTTCACATCATGTGACTACATTTAATTCCACAGATTTATATTTGGCAAAAGTTACAGTAATCAAACCATTATATTATTATTTTATTAAATTGTTTTTAATTTTACATTTAATCAAGACTAACATCTTTAATGCACAGCTATTCTATGAAAACACTCACGAATATTCAAGCTAGTACAAAAAAGTCAGAGACAGGCTCATGGTTTTCTGAAAAATATAAATGATTTCTTTCTGAAAAAGATGAAATTTAAGGCACAGAAAGAAGCTGAACACTATTACACTGTATAACCAGGCTATTTCTGAAATTCACATTAGTTCATTGTTCTTCTATGATCTTTATGGTGAATCATCCCTTAAAACCAGTGAATATAAATACAGAAGTGTATTTACTTCTGTCCTGGAATGCTGATGCGTTGGATAAAGGCCTGTAAACATTTACCTCAGTTACACTGAATCAGTCTGGATCAGTTACATTCTGGCTTTGCTCAGCCGTAGATGCCCTTAACACGCTTGTTCTCGGGGTCAAAGGGAGATTTCAGGTGAGCCGTAGCCTTGTATGTGACGCCCATCCTCTCCAGAGTGAATTCACCACTGCGGACGAAATCAGGGCTCACCTGGGGGCGAAGTGAACACGGACAAATTCAAGTGACGTTTGAGTAAAATGAATTTATGATTCAAATGAAAAGGCTTTTAATCCACATGAATGTTTTTTTTTTAAATTCATATCACAGTGTCAAACCATGCAACAGAAATGAGGTCTGCTCTCACATCCCTCTCTTTCTATCTATGCCCCTGCGGCTCGCTCTCTGTCCGGGGTTGCATCTCTTTTTAATTAAATCTGAACGAGCTGCAGGCATTACCCTGTGGAGTCGAGATCAAGATGCAGTGGCTGGAAAACTAGCCTGACCTCTGTAAGTGGGCACATTGCAGTCTTAATGGACACATTGGTAGATATCCACTGATTGCTACAAAGAATTAAGTAGTAAGCCGCAGCTGTAGCTATAGTAACTAAAGCAAAACTGCTGTGCAGTGTACAAGTAAAACATTCTATTTGCACATGCAGTTAATACAGAAGCTCTACAGAGTGTCTTGAGCTCCACATACTCCTGCATACATGTATTTAAAGGTATCAAAATACACGAAAAAGGCAAAATATCAAAGTTTATTTATTGATGATATATGCTTTGTTGAAGCAGTCAGGTTATTTTTTTAAGCATTCATAATTGTGGTGAATTCCTGGTGAAAAACTCATGATTCTAAAATGAAAATTCCACCAGAGAATCGCGACAAGCAAAAACTCTTTAACTCCTCCCACTTCCACGAAGCACTGTGACTCACGTAATCGAATTACCGTCCTTCCATGCACGGACCTGCTTAAATATTTGTATATTTATTCCTATTCTGCAATAAACATAAAATATAGTTTCCATATACACAATCAGCATCTTTAAATCAATAGTTTTCCATTTCTCTGGTTTTCCATTTCTCTGCTTTCCATTTCCATGTTTTTAAATTGTCATATTCAAAGCATCAGGGGACTGTAGTTTTTCCCTCATTAAAGTCATTACATACACAGTCTTATATTTCTTATGTTTATATGCTAAAGAATAAACAATAACAATTGTATGTCATTTTAACAAAAAAATGCTTTTTTACTGTATGTGTAAGGGATAATGCATGGCTAGCTGTGCATTAAACAATTTTGGTGGTTGCCTCCGCGGAGTGCATTAAAATCGTTTAATGCAGAGCTAGCCGTGTATTATCCAATGGTACCATGGTTATTTGCCAGCACTGCCAACTTAAAGCTGTTTTATGACGTTAGCAGCACAATATTTAACTGGAAGGGTAAAAATTACGGTTATTTTTGTCAGTTACGTCTCATTAGCAGATGAAAGAGTGGGGTAAGACCACATTTATTTGAACAAATTATAGTATTTATTTACTAGTAAGTAAATACATTGACTAGTAAGGGCTGCTTTTACAATGCTTTCAGTCCTTTTGAAGCTTGTAAACTCTCCAGGACATTTTTCAAAATTTCCTCTTTTGTGTTCCACTGTAGAAAGTAAGTCACACGGGTTTGGAAACTTAAAAAATTTGAACTAGAAACTATGAAAAGTCTTATGCATGAAGTCTCGAGGTCTCTCGGCCGTGAATAATAGTTCTCTGACATTATGTCCAGTGATGTGTCAGTGGTGTGTAATGCAGTGAGCAGAGAGAGTAAAGGTCTGATCAGATCAGCGCTTAACCCTGTTCAACAGCACTGCCGTCTATGCTGTGGAATGGAGACGTCTCCGCTCTACCTCCCCATCTGTCCCTCCTCATCTAGCTCTCTGTCAGTTAACATTAAGTACACATCCCCCTGTATCATGTCATACTCACAGTACACGGACTTCAGAGCTGCCACTGTGTCCAAGAATCATAATACACACCCACACTGTTTATATATATATATATATATATATATATACACATATACACACACACACATTTATACAACAGTCCTTTCTGGTTCTTGAATCCGATTGGCTGATTTATAATTTTATAAATAATACTGTTTTTGCGTCACGGAACGTAGTTTTAAGAGTTTATTTTAGGCGAGAATGTAGTTCAGACTTCAAATATGCAGTTTGTTAATAAAGATAACGTCTATTTGAATGTTTTTGGAGATATCCAGGGCATCAGCGGCCGTTCAGCGCTCATGAACCCGCCGAGAGCAGCCTCACTTCAGCCAGATCTTCTGGAATTTGCCGCTGGCTCTGATGTTTCTATAGTGGTTAAACATGAGATATAATTAGTTTTGGGTAAATCTCACGGGATGAGGGCAAAATCTCATCACGTTATATTTTATGTAACTTTAATGCTGTATTTGTACTTTTGACTGAATTGCCTAGCAACCTTTATGATGGCTGTTTTTGTTGTTTATTAAATATTATTATTCAAAAAATAATATTTTATATAAATAATAGTATTTAATAATAATAGTATTTAGTATTGAGAAATGGTGTGTTTGTGTCGGTGAGCTTTTAATACAGTAATACAATAAGCTTTCAATGAAGCAACTCAACGTTCCTTCGTTACTAGTTCTAAAGTGACGTTTTCGAATTAGTAACGGAGGCTTGGGCTCAGCTGTTAAACTGTCAAACTGAGATTTGAATCCATGGAGGAAAGAAGTAGTTCCACACAAAAGAGGGTTCCCTTATCGAGTCGGTCTCTCGACATTACGTATGGGGAAACCCTTTTCCTCCGAGATGCTGAAGCCTGATTGAATCACTCTATTGCTCCGTAATAGCCAATGGCCTTCAAGCATTCACCTGATTGGCGGGCTCAGCCGCTATATAGGTGATGTCGAGTGCCAAGTTCCCTCAGAATCTTTCTCCTTCACTTAGCAAAGCTGTTTCAAGAAGCCTCTTATCGCTCACCGTTGAAGGTACGCGCTTCAGTGGAAGGTGCCCGAATTGCCATTCCCTGCAGTGTTCCGGTGAGTATAACATCATCTTATAGTACGGATAAGCTGTCCGTACACTTCCTCACCTCTGCTGCGGAGCCGTGGAGACAGAAGGCACGGCAGCTTGGGGCAGAAAGTTTAGGTGATGGGCCTGCGACGTGTCAATTCACCTAAACCTCCCATGTCTCATTCAGAATGGATATTCACTGCCTTTCTGCCTGGGCGGCCCTCACACAGATGCAGTGCAGCCCGTGTTTGTCTACCAGCCATTAAGCGATACCCTAAGAACTTCGGAAGCAAGTGGCACGGGCCCAGTTCCTGTGTTTACCTCAACCCTCCCACCCTAAGCCGGGACCTGAAGTTGGCGGGAAAATAGCCCTGTCGCTGACAGTGCTCTCTATGAGAGAAGGTTTACAGGGTTTCACAGACCCTCATTCGCATGATTCAAGCAGCAGCCTGCTGTGTACAGAGCACGGAGAATCT